AGACTTCCCGGAACCGGCCACTCAGTCCCAGCTACGGAGGTTCCTGGGGATGGTAGCCTACTACCACCGCTTCATCCCCCAGGCAGCCGAGCTCCTGCAGCCTCTGCACGCCTTAATCACCCACAAGGCAAAACGCTCGAGAGCGCCTGTCACGTGGACAGACTCGGCGCGGCAGCGTTTCAAGAACGTCAAGGACGCCCTGGCCACGGCGACACATCTCGCACACCAAGTCCCGGACGCGCCGCTCGCCCTCTTCGTCGACGCCTCGGACTGCGGAGTGGGCGCCGTCCTCCAGCAGCACGTCGCCAGCGAGTGGCAGCCCCTCGCTTTCTTCTCGAAAACGCTCCAGCCTGCGGAGAAGAAATACAGCACGTTCGGGCGCGAGCTACTCGCCATCTACCTGGCCGTCCGGCACTTCAAGCACGCCATCGAAGGACGGTCAGCAATCATTTTCACAGACCACCGACCACTGGTAACGGCCATCGGCTCCTCGTCCGACCGCTACTCGCCACGAGAGGTCCGCCACCTGGACTACATCGGCCAGTTCGTGTCGGACATCCGCCATGTGCCTGGCAAGGACAACGTGGTCGCCGACACGCTGTCACGCACGGTCTCGATGGTGGCCCAGCCGCGACCCCCGCTCGCCGACTTCACTGCCATCGCCAAGGCCCAGTCCGAAGACGGCTCGCTGGAAGACCTCGAGACCTCAGACACCTCAATGCGCCTGCGCCACATCCCGGTCGGCGATGGACTCCGTCTGCTCTGCGACGAGTCCACCGGATCGCCTCGGCCGGTCCTCCCAGAGGCGCTGCGCCGGCCCTTCGCCAAGGCTCTGCACGACCTATCGCACCCTGGCGTCGAGGCCACCGTCAAGCTCGTCTCTAAGCGGTTCGTCTGGCCCGGTATGGATCGCGACGTGCGCCGCTGGACCCGAACCTGCCTCGCCTGTCAGCGCTGCAAAATCGGCCGGCACACCAAGTCTGACGTCGGCACCTTCCAGCCACCTCAGCAACGCTTCGACCACGTCCACGTGGACCTCGTCGGCCCGATGCCTCCGTCAAGAGGGCACTCGTACCTCCTGACGTGCGTCGACCGGTTCACTCGGTGGCCAGAAGTCATCCCTCTGCCGGACATCCGCACCACCACGGTCGCCCGCGCCTTCCTCGAGCACTGGATCGCCCGATTCGGCGTTCCGTCCATCATCACGACGGACCGAGGCGCCCAGTTCGAGTCGGCCCTCTGGTCGGAGCTACAGCGATTCCTGGGCTGCCAGCGAACTCGGACGACGTCCTACCACCCGGCCTGCAACGGTATGGTGGAACGCCTGCATCGCCAGCTGAAGGCCAGCCTCCGTGCACACCAGGCTACGTCATGGACGGACGTGCTGCCGCTGGTGCTCCTGGGCATACGCTCCACCATCAAGGCGGACCTGCAGGCGACGTCAGCCGAGCTGGTGTACGGCTCCTCACTGCGGCTTCCCGGCGAGTTCTTCATCAGCAGCCAAGCCTCAGCAGCATCACCGGCCGGTTTCGTACAAGACCTGAAGCGCGCCATGTCTCAGGTGCGGCCGACACTCCCACGTCCGGTCCAGCGCGCCACGTACGTCCCGACGGCACTCCAGACGGCGACACACGTCTTCGTGCGCAGGGACTGTCACCGCTACCCGCTGGACGCTCCATACGACGGACCGTTCCCGGTTACCGAAAGGACCACCAAAACCATCACCATCGACCGTCGACAGAAAAAGGAAGTCATCAGCATCGACCGGTGTAAGGCCGCCTTCCTGGAGACGCCAGACGAATCCGGTCATCGACAGCCTGACCTGCCGACTGTGCAGCCGCACGGTACTCAGTCCAGCGGCCCGCCGGCCGCGCCACCGCTCAGCAATGAGCCCAGCGGCCCGGAGCTTCTGATCTACGGTGACGCACCAAATCGCCCTGCAGCCGTCGCTCAGGCTGACGCTGCACCATTGCAGCCTCAGCCGATACTACGGACGACCCGCTCCGGCCGCGTCATACGACCTCCGGTAAGATATCGCCATGTCACTTTTGTCCGCGACATGTCTGGCGAGGGGGTACTGTAGGGATCATCTACGCGATTTGTCATCTATGCGATTTGTCATTTCATGTTGTCATTTTCATTTATATTGTCGCCGCTTTATTAATCAATCTGTTACCTGTTGTCAATTGCGCGTCAAGTTTGTTTGTTATTTGTAAACCGGCCTGCCGCTGGCCTCAACCTTCCTAGTAACCGCTGTGCCATACGCTTTAGAACATATCGTGCAAAGGTCACGGCGGCACCCCTGAGGCGGCCGCTGCCCGTACGTTTACGAACCCATTGTCGTGACGTCATGCCTGTGAGCAAAGGTCGCGGTAGGGGCTCTCCCGGCAGCCGGACGGTGACTCATACGTTAAGCTTGTCTCTCGCCGCGCCTGCGGGCATATTGGTAGTACTAGGGACGGCCAGCATGTGACCGCGGTTTTCGGCGACATTGTCAATTCGTTTCTCGACTCTGCTGTTCGCTACAAGACAAATACACATAGAAAACGGCTCGGGCATTTGGAGAAGAGCGGCTACTCTGAGGCGAGGGAAGAACACGGAGATTCACACAAACGACCTGACTAGGTTGCACCGGCCACAGTCGACCGAGGTGGGCTTCTGCGCCCTTAAAGACGCCTCTGACTGGCCATTGCGCTGACACCCTGGTCGGACCACGGTCATTGATCGGACCCTGCCACTGGTTCGTGCTCAGGCTGCCTTAGCGGGTAGACCTGCTCGACCAGACGCCCACTGGTGGGCGAGTGCTCGGTTCCGACTTTCACCGCCGGTCCAACAGCGTTCTGCTGGTTCCCGCCGATCCGGTTACGACACCGCAAGTGCCGTACCGACTCGGGCGTCCCAGGTGGGCGTAACGGTTACCACACCAGTTCGCGACCCCCAGGCTCTGTCAGCCGTCGTACGGCTCTCGGACGGACACTCTAATAGATCAGCCACAGATCAATAGATTGTCACGGACCGTCCGTCCAGCCACGCGCTACCCACAGCGCCAGTACGACACCCTGCTGGGAGGGGGGGGGGGAGGTTTTTGAACACCCCCCCTGCGGTTTTTCGCGGATATCTGAAAAACGGCGGCACCTTATCATCTATCAATGTTATACATTTTGTGAAAATTTCAGACCAGGGTCCTTCAAGGTCAGGTCACCAGGTCGCTACAAGTGACCTCACCTCATAAACACATCATAAAATGTTTCAATGTATGCCATAGCTACACCAAGTGACGGATCGCTTTGAAGCTTTCAGCAATTGATAAGTGCAACAGTATGTACAAAATTCGGAATTTTCATATCGGTGACCTAAGGTCGGGTCAATTTTGCGACCTCTAGGTATTTTAAGGCAATGGGAGAAAATTCAAAACCGTCTTTTTCGGACGAAAGTCATTCTTAACACTCTCAAACACTAAATTACAAGTAACTCTTTGACACACTGAACATGAAAACGGCACCCGTGACCCCTGTTTATGCCCCTGAGGTCATCTCAGGTCACGAATGGTATCTAACAGTTTTTTGCGACTAACTTTTGAAAGAGGCATACTAGAGCGATGAAAACGCCTTATATATGTTCAGCTCGACGATACAGATCCACTAATATGCAACATGACAATGTCCGGTCAAATCATGACCTTGACCAGAGGTCAAATTTTTAAGTTGAACTTTCAATGTCAAATTATAGTTCATTCGATGCGTCTTGACAAGAGGAACACGATGTCGGTAAAAGAAAGCTCGTGCAAGGCTTGAGTCAAAAGTTATTGCAGAAAAACTGTTCCCGAAAAATCGTCTATTTTGGCCGTTTTTGCCCCCTGCAGGCAAAACCGTTGACGTTAGGTCAAATCTGAGGGAATTACTCAGAAAGGGCGTTAATAGGGCTATCGAATGCGCTTTTCCGTGGCGCTGTAGCTCTATTGGTTCCCGAGCTATGCGTTGGCTTCTTGGAAATTGTCGACATTCGACCTGGAAATCGGCGAAATTTTGCCTTCAATGACCTCTGGTGACCTGACCTTTGACCTGACCAAAAAAGTGACCTAAGTGATTTCGTCATTATTTTTGGCGCTCTTTCGAACGCCGCCTTCCGCGTATCGCTACGTGGCCCAGGAGCCGAGTTAGAAGGGGGGGGGGGTTCAAACACCCCCCCAGCAGGGCGTGGAAATCCAGGACCCCCAGCCGGGCGCGGGTTAAAAAACAGACATTTGATCAACCGTCGAATCCAGTAGTTCTAAGCATAGGTACTAGGTAGGTGAAGACCCTCCCTTGCATTGTCCAAGATTGGTGAAGGATCCTTCACCAATCTGAAACTTTGGTGAAAGGTATCCTTCACCAAAGAGATACGTTGCTACACCTATGTCCTTCACCAATATTTTTGGCGCTCCTACACCCATGCATATGCCCGTAGTTAAGTCGTTATTCGCAGGTTCAAACCTTAAATGGTATTTTGGGGGTGAAACAACTGAATATTAGTAGTGAAACTTTGACAGATTGATGCTCTCAGGGTTCTAGTTTGAGTTGTTCATAAATCATGCACTATGCAGGTGAGCCCAGGACGCTAGCGACTGGGGAAAGGAAAGTTTTAAAACAAAAGTTAATTTTGCCCCCCAACCGAAAATCTCTGGCGACGCCTATGGTGCCAGGTGCGGCGAAGTGCCTACATGCACGTCTTGCCTACAACATGGTGGTGCAAACAGCTCGATAGGCATGTCGTTGGCACTTGGCAGCGGAAAAGCAGAGCCGAAATGCATTCTAGTCGGCTATATAGCGGGTCGCATGGATAAAGTACCTAAGTTATGAAGGTAGATCCGTAGGTAGCGGAATAATGGAGAAGCGGAGCAATCTTTCTCCGCACCATGTCCACACCCATCTCTGCACAGGAGGTTCATGTCATGTTTGTCATGTGCAAGAAAAATAATAAAGAAGAGCCAGAAGGTCTTGTGCACTCTGAATTTGAGTGGTGAGATCAAACATTTAGTAGTCGATTACCTTAGAGTTACGCTCTTTTACTGTCTTCAAAGCGCAGAATATGTATAAAATGAGAGCACTGCTCGGTGACTGAATATTCATCAGCATGCTGCGAGCCTTTGCTTGTTTCTTGGCTTTCCATTGGTGGATGTCATGTGCATTATGCTGTCTACCAATGAGAGGCCAAGAGACGCTAGCAGCCTGCTTCCATAAATCCTGACAAAAACACGTACAGATACCAAGTGGTGCCGGTAGGAATAGGCAAGGCCGGGCCGTAAAGAGTCCGAAAGCCGAAAGGTGAAGAGGCTACAGAGGTAGGTCACTTTTATTTTGCTTTTTTCTGCAGGAAGGGCGTTTTATTGCGCGTGTCCCTTAACCCAGCAAGCTAGCTCGAGTAATAAGTTTTTTTACATATTTTCATGCAAGGAAGTTGATATAAATATTAAATAAGCAATTAATAAGCGACATTTTTGTATTTAACTTGTAAGTATGTATTGACGAAGTGTCATTTCTAATCTTCCTCAGGAAATGATAGTAATTCGTATTCGTTTCGGGCTACACTCAGGTAAAAAATCGTTAAAAACCACAATTTTAACAATTTGTGGTTACAATAACAATTTCAATTTGTTACCTCAGTGTAGCCCGAAATGAATACGAATTACTATTGTAAGCATGTTCCACTAACAGCATATATTCTCATGAAAAGTGGTTGTGTGGTTAATGATTCATTTCAGTAGGCGGAACTATGGTCAAGCGTACCCATTTTCGGGAACGTATTTTCGTTCCCATGTTTGGGAACGATAAACCCAAATATCGGAACGCCATGTAGGCATTATCTAAAACAAGGAAAAGAACCGTTAAATGACGTCCAAAAAATATAAAACGATCGTGAACCACCTGATATTTGTCTCAATATTGTTGGGAAAGACTTTGATATTGTAAGGCCCATCGTAGTTTCAAATCGTTCCCCTATTCCTAAAGCAGTCCATCATCCGGGCCGCGAGCCCAAATTTGGGAACACTCGTACACTGGCGCAAGCGTTCCTTATTATGGGAACGGCGTACCCAAAATTGGGAACGATTTCACCGGTGCCTTTCAGGAGCTCTTTTCATTAACAAGCATCACGTCCAACGCCGCAAATTATTGTTAACGCAACAATCATCAGATGACCTTTCCGGCAAGACCGCCGCATGTTTCGCCGGGTCTTCCGCGCTCTTATTCCCGTCGATCTCGCAGCGGGCACGCCCCCCTCTGCAGGATTACGTAGGTAATTCACAACGCTCAGCGATGTTCAACAAGGTCTTCCATACCTATATCCACCGTCCGCGCCGAGGGTGGAGACCAGTGGAGACATGTCAAGCACCTGTCTGTTTATCACCGATGGTTGACGAGCACAAGGAAGTATCCAAAAATGGGAACGCTGAATATGTTACACCCTCAAAACACCTAGTCCCAATGAAAATCTAGTTTTTTCCTTTCTTAATGAGTGTAAGTGGCAAAAGGCCTGGTAGGATGGGCACGAGGAATGATCAAAAGCAGCATAAAAATTATAAATAAGCCACACAGAGCGACCTATATAAGTGAAATTCCCCCAAAACGATCATGCTTAGAAACACGGAAGACAAAAACCACGCTCATGACGCTCCTTATAAAACAACGCTAAACAGCTAGTATCCAAATAAAATATGTTTTTCCGGGCTGATAAAATACAGCTGAATAATTTTAAACCACTGAAACTGAGTTTACAACAGTAGTTCGGTAAGATCACTGACGTTCCACGCGGTCGTGCGCCCCGACACCAAAAGTCAACAATATTACCTCGAGACTGTCCGCGTGTTCGCTTGCATATGTCAGCATCTGGTGTAGCTAGTATGAAACTTCATAACCAGGCGAAAATTATTATACCTACTTGACCTCAAAATGTAACAAATGCTTCATTTTCCTTAAAATTGCATGTTAAATGTAGTATAACCCATGTTTTCACCATTCCGTCATTTCAGAAAATCATGAAAAATATCATTCGACGGTCAATTTCCTTGTTCAACGGTCAGATTAAAGATAATTTTATAGAGACTTAGTAGATACTTGAATTAACGTGCACTTTTTTGAGACGTGATGCACTAATGAGTTTAAGTGGGCGAACGGCCGAAAAAGTACCTTCCGTTCTCATAAATGGGAACGCCCGTTGCCATATTTGGGAACTCCGTTCCCAAAAATGGGAACATTCCTATACTTGGGTACTCAAGACCATAGTTCCACCTACTGATTTGTTGAAGTCTTGAAGTTTTGAATATATGGAAAAAGGGGTACTTCCATTAACTTCCATTACTTCCATTACTCCTTACTCATTGAGTGGGCCGCACCGCCGCCAGCCGCCGTTGCCACGGGAGTCCCAGTGCTCTCCCCCGTCTGATCGCGTCGGTGTCGACTGCTGCTGGAGTCATCTCTAGAGGAGTCGACAGCTGGACTGGGCTGATCTGCTCACTTGCACAGTCCAGAATCGACGATCGATGTCGCACCCGATTAGACTCACTGCCGGTGCTGGCATCGTCACGTCGATGCCCAGAAAATGAGTCATGGAGAGACGGGCCAGAGGAACTGGCTGTGCTGGCTGCCGCCACCTCCAGGATCGGGTCGCCGAGACCGGGCGGCGAAGCACCGTCCGCAGTCCGCACCCCGAGCGCGCCGCCGCACGCGGTCGACAGACGCAGAGACCGGCCGCACTGGGCCCTTCACCTGAGCTCGCCCCTGCGCCGGCCCGCGGCCCGCGCCGGGCTCGGACAGCCTGCGCACCGCCTCCGGGTCCGCGATCCGGAGCGGGGCAGAGTCACGGGATCTGCACGCGAGGATTTCTTCAGACCTGGTGAATACTGAGAAGAGCTTTCCTTCCTTTCTGAGCTGCAACAGTTCAGAAAACATGGCTTGTCTTCTTGGAGTCAGCGACTCTGCGATGAACAGGCCGGAACCTTTTAATTTCGACTTTGCCCTGAACAGAAGGTCTCTGTCCGAGCCGGGACCTGCTGAGGTAAACTCGACGAGAACTTTACCGTTTCTGAGTCTGAACGTAGTTCTGACCTGCGCACTATCCAATCTGTGCCCGAGGTACCGCTGAACCACATCACGAATCAGCAGGGCTGAGTCCTCTCGGCTGGTTCGAGCCTGAAGAGCTGGCCCGGAGAAAATGAGACAGACTAACCTTTTCTCCTGCTGTCGGCGGTCTTCGTGGAGCTCCATTTGCTTAAGACGTTGTTTCATATCACTTATCTCCTTTTGGAGCTCCACGATGTTACAGTCGGCTGTCCTCTGCCGCTCAGACACAGCTGCCATCGAGTCCATAGCAAAGGAGAGTGAGGTTTCCAAAGTCGTTAGGCGCCTCTCGTTGCTGTCCTTAATCTCCTTTACACTTTTTGCGTTTTCTTGCACTATAAACGCTTTCAGTTCTGCACACATATCGTTTTGCCCCTCCTGTGTCGGGGAGCACGCCTTGCGTTTTTTGGTCATGGCACTACCGATAGCACGCCACAAATAGCCGCACAGGCCCGCCCGCCGCCGCGGCCGCCACACACGCGCACGGAGCGACCCCTCGCGCGTCCGACCCGGCCGAGGTCAACCGGTAGACTGCGCGCCGCCGTTTTCTTGCTATTCAGTAAAAACCACAGGGGGGGGGGGGCAAATTGCCCCCCCCCCCAACGGGGCGAGGGTTAAATCATAGTTCTGGGGATTGTAATGCTGGTGATGTCTATATCGTTTGCCGCTGTCTGACAGCACTCTTTTTTCAGATTGGTTACCGAGCACGTCTCAGCGGTGTGCTGCCAAGATGCCGGTGGCCGAGCCGGCGCCGCTGCTGTTCGGGGATGACGACCTTCCGTACGAGGAGGAGATCCTCCGCAACCCCTACTCGGTCAAACACTGGCTGCGCTACATCGAGCACAAGAAGGAGGCCCCGCGGGAGGCCGTCAACATGCTCTACGAGAGGGCGCTGCGCGAGCTACCCGGCAGCTACAAGCTGTGGCACAGCTACCTGCGCCTGCGGCGACGCCAGCTCAAGAACCGCTGCATCACCGACCCGGCCTTCGACGACGTCAACAGTGCGTTCGAGCGCGCGCTGGTGTTCATGCACAAGATGCCGCGCATCTGGCTGGACTACTGCCAGCTGCTGATCGACCAGCAGAAGATCACGCGCACGCGGCGCGTGTTCGACCGGGCGCTGCGCGCACTGCCCATCACTCAGCACCACCGGCTGTGGCCGCTCTACATCGAGTTCGTCAAGCGGCACGACATCCCCGAGACGGCGGTACGCGTGTTCCGCCGCTACCTGAAGCTCTGCCCGGAGAAGGTGGAGGAGTTTATCGACTATCTGCGCTCCATTGACCGGCTGGACGAGGCCGCCGTCCGGCTGGCCGGCATCGTCAACGAGGAGCACTTTGTGTCGCAGCAGGGCATGTCCAACCACCAGCTGTGGAACGAGCTGTGCGAGCTCATCAGCAAGAACCCGCACAAGGTGACCTCGCTGGACGTGAACGCCATCATCCGCGGCGGCCTGCGCCGCTACACAGACCAGCTGGGTCAGCTGTGGAGCTCGCTGGCCGACTACTACATACGCAGCGCGCTCTTCGACCGGGCGCGAGACATCTACGAGGAGGCCATCCAGACGGTGACCACGGTCCGAGACTTCACCCAGGTGTTCGACGCCTACGCCCAGTTCGAGGAGCTCAGCCTCAATAAGCGCATGGAGCAGGTGGCCGCCAAGGCGACGCCCTCCGAGGAGGATGACATTGAGCTGGAGCTGCGGCTGGCGCGCTTCGAGGAGCTGATCCAGCGGCGGCCGCTGCTGCTCAACTCGGTCCTGCTGCGACAGAACCCGCACAATGTGCTCGAGTGGCACAAGCGCGTGGAACTGTTCGCCGGCAAGCCGCGGGAGATCATCAACACGTACACGGAGGCGGTGCAGACGGTGGACCCCAAGCTGGCCACCGGCAAGCTGCACACTCTCTGGGTGGCCTTCGCCAAGTTCTACGAGGAGAACGACCAGCTGGACGACGCGCGCGTGGTGTTCGAGAAGGGCTGCCAGGTGGGCTACACGCGCGTCGACGACCTGGCCGCCGTGTGGTGCGAGTGGGCCGAAATGGAGATCCGGCACGAGGAGTTTGAGCGCGCCCTGCAGCTGATGCAGCGCGCCGTGGCGCCGCCGCCGCACAAGGTCGCCTACCACGACCAGTCCGAGACGGTGCAGATGCGCGTCCACAAGTCGCTCAAGCTGTGGTCCATGTACGCCGATCTCGAGGAGAGCTTCGGCACGTTCAAGACCTGCAAAGCCGTCTACGATCGCATCATCGAGCTGAAGATCGCCACGCCGCGTATAATCATCAACTATGGCCTCTTCCTGGAGGAGAGCAACTACTTTGAGGAGGCGTTCAAGGCCTACGAGAAGGGCATCGGCCTGTTCAAATGGCCGTACGTGTACGACATCTGGAACACGTACCTGACCAAGTTCGTGGGCCGCTACGGCGGCACCAAGCTGGAGCGGGCGCGCGACCTGTTCGAGCAGTGTCTGGAGCACTGTCCGGAGCAGTTCGCCAAGGCGCTCTACATGCTGTACGCCAAGCTGGAGGAGGAGCACGGCCTGGCGCGACACGCCATGGCCGTCTACGACCGGGCCACGGCCGCCGTGCCGCAAAACGAGAAGAAGGAGATGTTCGACATCTACACGCGCAAGGCGGCCGAGATCTACGGCGTGACGCGCACGCGCGAAATCTACGAGAAGGCCATCGAGCAGCTGCGCGACGACGAGGCGCGCGACATGTGTATGCGCTTCGCCGAGCTGGAGCGCCGGCTGGGTGAGATCGACCGGGCGCGCGCCATCTACGCGCACTGCAGCCAGATGTGCGACCCGCGCACCACCGCCCAGTTCTGGAGCACCTGGCGCGAGTTCGAGGTGGCGCACGGGAACGAGGACACCATGCGTGAGATGCTGCGGATCAAGCGCTCCGTGCAGGCCACCTACAACACTCAGGTGAGCGGCTGGCGGCCCGCTCGGCGGCGGTGTGGGCCGAGGGGTGTGGGCGCACCGGGTGGTGTCCGGGCCGGGGGATGCGTTAGATTTGATTCGTTGTCGGGTTGTCATTTCGATTTGTCTCACCATCAGTGTGGTTTTGCAGTTTTCGTAATTTTGATGTTGAACGAATTTCATTTAAAATCCAACCTATTTGTGGTCCTGCATTAGTTTGAAGCGCTTAGAAACGAAATAATTTTTTCCTCTCACCACATTTTGGATAGCTCACCATTTTTCATACATTATCGTTGTTTTTTGCGTAGCATCCATTCTATGGCTTGTTATTCACACCGTGCGTTGTCAAGCAATCATACTACATTTCATGTCATCTCTTTCAATGCTGTACATTGTACAATGTTGCTCGCTTCTGTGGTCAACTCGACCGTGAGTTCCGGGCAGTTGTCGCATCCGGTACTTACAGCCGGGCAGAGGTCGCCTCTGGTACCGCGTCAGGGAGAGGTCGCCCTTGGTACCGTCAGGCAAGCAGAGGTCGCCTCTGGTACCGACGCCAGAGGTCCCTCTGGTACCGCGGGCCGGGCAGAGGTCGCCTGTGCCGGTCAGGGGTCCCTCTGGCACCTACATATAGTGGGCCAGAGGTCGCCTGTCTTTGGTACGGTCCCCTTGTAGATGGCACTGGTTTCCGATGGCCATGAACCTATCTGCAATCCCGACCAGGCTTATAAGTAAAGTAATCCTGGACCAGACTAGTCGGTCACCAGCGCAACAGAAGTTGTTTTCCCAGTTGGCCAATACTGTCTGACGTGTTCACCAAAGTAATTTAACTTTAAAGCAGACCGACTGGTCGCGGCGACTGAGGTCTGCTCTGATCGTCTTTCAACTTTCAATCATCGAACATTGAGAAGTTGTGCACAAACATCTGGTTGGTACCAAAACTCGTTATCTGGAACGCAGAGGTCTTTATATAAGAGCAGTTTGCGTTTGGGACAAATGTTTGATGCCGCCGCTTCCTCTCGTAACAGCCTTACTAAAAATACGTAGGTACAGCGATGGGAGCCTGCAATGGTTCGGCCACGGTTTTTCGGTTCTCCCGATATTGTCCGTTTTCACCACTCTGCAATTGCATGTCTGACGTTGCATTGTTAATTGTTTGCTTGAAACACAGGCTTGAGTGATCATCACCACTAATTCGGCACAGGCATAGTTTATTTGTATTTTGTCGCCTGTGGTCCTTCTTTTGCTGTTAACCCAGGGCTGGGTGGCCACCTCTGTGACACTGAGACTGACGCGTGCTGTGCTGCTCTCCCCGGCCAGGTGAACATGATGTCCGCGGCGATGCTGGCGTCCGCCTCCTCCATGTCTGGCACCATCTCAGACCTGGCGCCCGGACTCAACGACGGCATGCGCATGCTGGAGGCGCGCGCCGCGCAAAAGACGGCCGACCGGCCGGCCGCCGCCGCCGCCGCCGCCGGCGCCGGTCAGATCCTGTTTGTGCGCGGCTCTGGCTCCGAGCAGGAGACAGCCGTGGCCGAGGGCGGCCGCGTGGCCAACCCGGCAGAGATCCAGCTGGACGACGACGACGATGAAGAGGAGGGAGAGGGAGCGGAGGAGGAGGAGGAGGTGGCGCAGCAGGCCGTGCCGGCGCAGGTGTTCGGCAGCCTGGCCAGGAAGCAGGAGGAGCAGGAGGACTGAGCGGTCACGGCGGGGGCGCACAGCACCCCAGCGAGGGCAGGGACTGACCGGTCGCGGTGGGGGCGCACAGCCGCCCGGCGAGGGGCGGGACTGACCGGTCGCGGCGGGGGCGCACAGCAGCCCGGCGAGGGGCGGGACTGACCGGGCACGGCGGGGGCGCACAGCGGCCCGGCGAGGGGCGGGACTGACCGGTCGCGGCGAGGGCGCAGACAGGAACCCATAGTGAAGACAGCCCGGGCGTCTACAATGAGAGCGAACCACCAGGTACTGTTTTGCTTTCCTTTATCGGCTGGCTGGTGTGACGATTGGTCATTGATGGAGAGTGGAGATGGTCCGAATTTATATTTAATATACAAATATGCATCACATTGGCTGTTTTAATGTAATCATTACTCTCTGATTTGTTATTTGACGAGCTCATCTCATTTGATTATTGTTAGACTTTGGATGTTTTTTTTGTGGAACTACGAGGGTAATGACCACATGGTAGGCATCACACTTTGAGGCTCATTCAACTGTCGAATTATTTTATAAAATGGGACTCGTCTCGACTCCCGTGTCTGAAAACTGGGCAAGTTTCAATGGTTGGTGTGGGCTGTGAAGTAACTGGATGGCCGGCGCCGGTAACTGGCTGGATGTCGAGCGGAGTTGGAGTTTACAGCCGAAGTTGTCTCCCTGAGGTGGGAGTTCAGCCGTAATCTCCGTGGTCCGCTGCAGATTTACGGCCACGGTGATGGTAGTCCATGCGCTTACTTTAGTTGCCTTCTCAAGTTAGGCTCCTTGTTGCTTGTTTGTCCACTTGAAAGATAAACCTCTACTTGAAAAATAAACAAAAAAGGTAATTTTGCGTAGCAAGAGCGTTAAAATGTGTGGAATGGAATTCCTCTAATAGCGATAGGATGAATTCGCCGCTGATTTTTACTGTGACACGTTTCATTTGCTATAACTGAGCCCATAGACTATTTCATCTGAGCAATACAGTGGTCTATGGTATGCCGTATGGTAAAATGATCGTGTTGTGGATTGACCCGCGTCCCGCCGGGACTTTCAACAGAACGCTGCAGTGCATTATCCACCTGACCCCACGCCCCGCTTAGTTCGTGCGGCACAGCGTACCCTACCTTATCGGTCGTGGGGTCAGACTCTTCGCTCTGTGCTACTAAGGGTGTCTGTGGAAATGTGTAAAGAACGACATTCCCAACAAGACTGAACTAATTGTCGCCAATTTTGTGTTTAGGTAACCCACAACGCAATATCAGGTCAGATGAAAGACCAAAAATAATAATCAATATTACAACTATCTACAATCTACATTATTGACTCAGGAGCCCAGGTGGCGAAAGGTTGAATGACAGCATAACCCAGAACGCGTCGGTAGGCTAGTCATGCAAAATAAAGCGTCACGTCAGGTCGGGTCACCAAGGACTTCATACAACCAGCTCCGGAATGCGACGCGTGACGCATGTGTCATGTGCCATTCTCAGTTAACCGGTAACATCAATACGGTATATATAGATCGATTATTTAATTGGATCGAAGTTGGATGACATTTAGGTCAATGTCAGGCTGCTCTAGGTCAACTTTTGAAGTTGGACTTCTAACACGATCGAATAGTTTTATTGCGATTTCAATGGTGATGTTTTACGGGCAGTACGGGCTGTCCGTATCAGTTGCCTGCAGTACGGGCTGTGGCCCGCTGTCCGTATCAGTTGCCTGCAGTACGGGCTGTCCGTATCAGTTGCCTGCAGTACGGGCTGTGGCCCGCTGTCCGTATCAGTTGCCTGCAGTACGGGCTGTCCGTATCAGTTGCCTGCAGTACCGGCGACGTCATCCTGTCAATGACCGCGGACGGGAGGGGTGCTGGGCGGTGAAGGATGAGGATGAGCTGGCTATGAGGGTAAAAAGGACGCATCCTGTCCCAGTAAACATGCCGACGTCGGCCCAACGTCGGTTCAACCTCGGCCCGACATCGGCTGGACGTCGGATATGCCCGCATGTTCCGACGTCCAGCCGAAGTCCAGCCGACGTCGAGCCGACGTCGGGCCGAGATCGTTTGCCGAGGTTGACGAGATCGTTTGTCGTTGGACCGACGGGGCCGACGTCGGCATGTTTATTGGGACAACGCGCCAAAAATATCAACCGGCGGCGGGATTCGAGCCCCCCAGTCGCCGACGTCGGACTCGGCATGTTTACTGGGACAACACGCCAAAAGCATCAGCCGGCGATGGGATTCGAACCCCATGTCATTCGAACACGAGGTTGGTGCGCTAACCACTACACCACGCAGCCAGCTAACGAGATCGGTTTGTTTTGTTGAGTTATGCCCTTTCGGTCTGACAAGACCATTTCAGAGCCGGAAGGATCATAGGATGGAGACATTGGTCTTCTTGGCGAGCACCCTGGGTCCAGTTCATATAGAGTCCCTGGTCCCATTGCTGTTACGTGACACTTATTGGAAAGGGCGACCCCACAATGGATTCATATAGCCACTCTTACACACCTGCACCAACGTTTCCCAGTGTCCCTTTGATAAGTGGCACTTTGGCAAAGTGACACTTGCCGACTGACCTTTCTATATGAACTGGGCCCGGCCCTGGTGAGTTGCCGGGGCTGAGCCTGACCAAAGGATAGGCCGAACAGCCCCCAAGCACTCACCGCACCCGGCTACGGGCGAGCTCGGCTTACGGGCAATCCCAAATGGGATAAAGTTTCCCGTCCAGCCCGGATCAGGGAGTTGGAGGAAGATTTGAGTTTCCTGAGGATATTTTGAATACAGAAGCTCTTTATGAAACATGAGACATGTATTTTATATTATTTTAACGGTCAAAACAGCGGCCGATGTCGGTCCGACGTCGCCCCGACGTCGGCCCGACTTCGGCTGGACCTCAGCAATTGATCTCGGTCCGACGTCGGCCCGACGTCGGCTGGACCTCGGCTGGACGTCGGAACATGCGGGCATATCCGACATCCAGCCGACGTCGTGCCGAGGTTGGACCGACGTCGGGCCGACATCGGCATGCCGATGCCGAGTTGCCGACGTCACCCCGACGTCGGCCGACGTCGGCATGTTTACTGGGGTCCCTTCTAAGGTTGGCAATCAGGGAAATCATAGTAGGTACCTACTTTGCTGAAAATGGTTCATCATTATTCAGCATCGCAATTCACGGACAAGACTCTCTCTCTCTTTTTCTCTCTCTCTCTCTCCCTCCCTCTCTCTCTCTCTCTCTCTCTCTCTCTCTCTCTCCCTCTCTCTCTTCTAGAGCTAACTATCTCGAAACAACGAGTCCTGCATAGTTCGTTCAGTGCTTGTTAGTTGTTTGTTCGATTGTTCAATGCTAGTCGAACCTCCATGCTTTCAGATGAGGCAGTGTTCAGGCTGCTGGGCCTCTTCGACTGCAAAATGCTTGCCAGAGATATCGGGGACCCGGAGCCATCCACTACCCTACCCATTTCGATTTCACCCTCCCCAGTCCTCACTGACGCCGGGCGGCCGCGGCCGGCGCCGCTCAGCTTAGATGTCATGCGGCACAGCCTACCTTACAGGCATTCACTGCTACTGCCATCTAGGGGCGAGAGCGTGAACCTCAAACTGCGGTCTGCCGCTCGAGCTACTGCAGTGCTAGCGCTGAATGCCCACTGCCCATCCACTGCCCGTTACCAATTGACGCGCCCAGGCGGGAAACGTTAGGAGCAGACATGTGCATGGATCCGAGAAAATGGATCTGGGATCTGATCTCACGGACCTTGATCTCGGACCCGATGGGATCATAGATCCAGATTTTTACTTTATCGGGAGATGCGGCTCCGATTATGGGTACCTACCTATAGTTTTTTTTTAGATCCAATGATATCATAGCTTCTCATTTTTTGTCAGCACAAATCCCAAAAAAAAATCCAAATGTTCTGTTTTAGTGATTTAATGAGATTGCATGTCATAATCCAAGCTTTGTGGCACTTATTGACAAAGAAACCCTTGGAAACATGGTTTCAAATGTTGTCCATATGCAGGATCCACTCAGATCATAGATCCATGTTCTTGGGATTTCGTCAGATCTGAGCTCAGCTTATAGATCCGATAATTTTTTACGCCGAATCCGGTAGGATCATAGATCCTAACCTGCAGGTTGCTTCCAGACCCACTGAGATCATAGATCCATCACTCGGATCCATGCACATGTCTGGTGAGGAACCGGGATAGTTTTAGTGTGTTGTAACAGACATGTGCATGATGCATTGATAGGGTTGTTTGACCTGAGCAGGGTTGTGCTCGACTAAAAAAAAAAAATTGCCGACTCGACTCATCATTCAACTTCAGAATGCCCTGACTCAACTCTGACTCAAACAAGGAGCTGGTTTTTTCCCTTGACTCGACTCATGACTCAAGCGGCTCAATGAAAATATGAGTTGACTCAAACTTGACTCAAATTTTTTTTTGAGTCAAGTGTGTTGACTCAAAATTGACTCAGACAAAAAAGTTGTTGAGCGGGGGGGGGGGGGGGGGGTGAAAAAATCCGGCAGCAGGGCCAGGCGTAAGTTGTTAAGCGGGGGGAGAGTGAAAAACTTATACTATATATTGTTTCTAAAAAGTTGAGTCAGCTGAGTCATGTTCCTAAATGTTCTTGACTCAACTCAATATCAAAAGTTATTTTACTGACTCAACTCTGACTCAACTCAACACCTTAATATTTTTGTCCGACTCAACTCTGACTCAACTCAACAGCTCAACCTTTTATCCGACTCGACTCAAATCTGACTCATTTGAGTCAGAGTTGAGTCAAATTTCTGACTCGACTCATGAGTCAAGCACAACCCTGGACCTGAGCTCTCAGCAGATCTAAAAGCAAATTAAATGCTAGGACGTAGAATGCCACTGGATCTCACGTTGTAAATTTATCCTAGATCTGTGGTCTCAGGATCTGGATGTAAAGCAAGGACAAGGATCTATGCTCTCTGTGGATCACGCAATACTCAATCCGCAAGACCATAATAATTGGTGATTGCATTTGTAGGTGTAAGGAAGGAAGGAAGGAAGGATCAGCCGTCCTTATTAGGCTCGTCGAATGCCCACTCTTTAAAAAACGGCCCATTGTTCCCTATGGTATCCGATGATTTAACAAAGTTTAATGGCCCCTTTGAAAAAAGCAAGGCATGCAAACAGGGGCGTCGCCACGGATTTTTGAGTGGGGGGGGGGTCGGGTTTCTAGTCTTCACCCGATGGGTGGGGGTGTTTTTTTTTGCCACACTTCCCAGTTTTGTGCGTGCGTATGTGTGTGTGTGCGCGTGTAAGACGCGAAATTTGGTATAACCTATTAGGTAGGTATACCCCTACCTACATCACTTGCGTAAAAATTATCACTGGTCACTTAGG